GAAGTCATGCGCGCTCCCGGGTATATTGGGGGCCCAACCCTCAACCCTACACTGCCCTACCCCTATAATCCCTAAACTCCTAAACCTTGTAAGCCTCAAACCCGCAGCCTTTGAGTCAGAAGAGCTCGAAGCCTCAAATGCTGAGGCAGGGCTTGGACTCACTGGCGGCCGTGGAGCTTCGAAACCGTCTTAGCAGGTGTCAGGGGAACCGGCAGGGCTTGGGGTTTAGGGTTTAGGGTTTAGGGTTTACGGTTCAGGGCTGTTGTAGGGTGCACAGTGCAGCTCTGTCTGGTTCTTGTTCCCATGCACACCAGAAACAAAGATTCCCATCCGCACAGGGCGATGGGTATCGTCGGCCTGCCTGCCACGACCTTGCCTCAGCTTTGCCGAAGTACGCGAAGAGCCCTAAACCATCCTAAACCCCGAGACCTGCTGGTGCATCGTGATTGGGACTGCTTGTTGCATGCTAGTTGGGAAACTTCGGCCAAGTGCCCCTAATTATTCTTAGGCTCGTTGAGCCCCAACTCCTGTGAGACGAAGCCACACACCAAGCAGCGAGCTGCGGAAATCTGCAGGATGGTGTTCGACTACCCGACGGCGGCCACCCTCACGGCCTTTCTGAAGTCGCGCATGGCGGGGCGGGCAAGAAACCCTCCACCCGACAATTCCTGCAAGTCCTACAAGGGTTGAGAAGCTTCGGGTGTGTGGTTGCGTGCGCTTCCCGCTCAACTTGGTGTTTAGACCTCAGGGGTGGCAAAGCCTTGCTCCGAAACCCTAAACCCTAAACCCTGAAAGCCCCTTAGAGTGCCGCCGAGAGCCGGGACTCCCATGCAGGCGCCCGAAGCCTCAGAGGCCCACGAAGCGGTGGAGGCAGGATGCTCCTAAAAATGGCCGACAGGGCCCGCCGGGTGTGAGGGTTTAGGGTTTAGGGTTTAGGGTTTTGGGTTTGAGATCCAGGGGGGAGGTCTGTGTCTATATGGGCTTTAAGATGCTTTTTTGGGGGGGAATTGGGGCACTTGAGGTTCAGGCTTTTTGCGGGTGTGCCTTTGCTCAGGGTGACCTCTGGGATGGCCCACAAAGTGTCTTATAACCCCCAGCACCTCTGTGCAGCTCGAGGCAGGGCCATGCTCCCTGCGAGAGGTGAGCCTAGGCAGGATGCCCCAGCGTCTTCGGGCCTTTTGGGGCCTTTCGGAGTTTAGGATGTCAGGGGTTCAATGTAAGGTTTCGGCTTTAGGGGGTCGTGGCTGGGTAGTGGCCATTCGGGTTTTGGATGTTCTCGGCCTAGTAGTTCGCCTCGCATTCAATCCCATAAACCGGGTTCGAGTGCTGTTGACGGTGTGGACATTCTCAGCTCGGGACTGCGAGAGCTGCATCAGGAGAGTCACTCTCCGTACTGGCATCAACGCACTGGGACCTTTCTTCAATGCCAGTAAGCTCTGAAGATGGGGTCAGTCAGCCAGCAGACGAGAAGAGCGCAAGAGAAGAGCGCAAATCGACCCTGGGCTTGCGGTCTAGCTTAGCCACGGGTCGCCGCCATGTTTGCTGCTACCCCCTGAGACTCGAGTCATGAGCACCGCAAGGACACCGTTGCCTGCGCTTGAATGGTGTTCGATCAACTTTCACGTGCCTCTGCGTGACTCATGAAACGCGTGTTGCAGCACACAATGCCAGCTCGTGTGTGGAGCTTGCGGTCCGAGTCCCAAAGTTACTTACAGTTAGAAATTAGATCAAATTAATAATAAGATAATAATAATAATAGTTAAGTGAGTACTTTGAACAGACAACTCCGTGAACTCAACTTGCAGGCTCCTTTGCCTGGCGCTCGGCGGCCTGTCTCGCCTCGCGAGGACAAGATGCTGCTTGGGCCTCGGGCCGGAATGGGGCGGAATGGGCTTCGGGGTTTAGGGTTTAGGGTTTAGGGTTTAGGGTTTAGGGCTTAGGAGTTCCGAAGTTCAAGAAGCCATAAGGTGGCCTGTAAGCTTTAGCATCTCAATTTGGCAAGAAGGGTTGAAGGGCTGCAGTTTCAGGGCCTGGGACCCAAGAGTCTCGCTACCGCACCAAAAGGCCCCGGAGTCGTGAACCGTTTACCCCACAGTCTAAACGCTCGAAACCTGGAGCCTTAAATCTCTGAAGGCCCGAAACCCTGAGCTTAAGCGAGCTACTATAATTTCAAGCCCAACCCTCTCAGCGCTTTCAGAATTTGAAGTGCCTGCAAACTGGCTGCAGGCCTATGAACGGTGCACCCGAAATCCCAAAGCCCAAATCCTCAACTCAAGCATGTAGCTTTTCAAGCAAAGGTGCATCAGGTGCCAATTGAGCGGTGGGATGTTGACACCTACTTTGGCGAGGACGCGGCTACAGGTTTAATTGTCGGCCTTATAGGGTTTTCATGGGGCTTGCAGGGTTCGATAGGGCTGACCGGGTTTCGAGGGCATATAGGGCTACAAACAGGTTGTAGGGTTCATAGGGTTTGCAGAGCTTAGTGGCTTCGTGGATCCAGGGCTTGGAGCGCATCAGGTTTCCAGGCGGGAAGGGCTTCTTTGTCAAAGAAATCCTAAGCCCCCCCCCACCTGAGGCGCCAGGGCCGCTTGAGATCGTTCATGGGCCTGGGGCTAAGGGGATGGTCAGCCTGAACAACCCCTCCAAAACCTGCTCCCTACTAGAGCGAGACAGCAACTTCACCCAGACTGCAAGGATCCTGCGCAGAGCTACAGCAGGCGTGACGAAGTTTACATGTCAGGGGGGGGGGGGGGGGGGGGGGTGGTTGGAGCGGGTCGGTCTCACGTGTGGGCCTTTTCTGGCAAACCTAACTACCAGACTAGAAGTCTGCCATTCGTGGAGACTTACAGAAAGGCTAGCGGTTCCGAGTTGGGTGTCCCTTGATGGTTGCTTGTTTCGAGTTTGCTGCCTCGTCTTCCTTGCTCGCAGAGGGCTTTGTAAACCCTAAACCCTAAACCCCAAACCCTAAAGTTTGTGGGGACGAGGGCCGCTGAACCTATAGGGTTAGGGTGTAGGGTTTAGGGTTTAGGGTTTAGGGTTTAGGGTTATAGGGTTATAGGGTTATAGGGTTATAGGGTTATAGGGTTTGGGGTCTATAAACCCGAAACCCTAAGCCCTAAACCGTAAACCCAGCAGGCATGGGACCTTCTTGGATGGCTTGGAACTCTTCGATGCCGACCACTTCGGGCTGTCTGCCTCGGAGGCGGCTTGCGCTCGACATGTTTGTGGGTGTACTTGGAGGTTCATGGTACTTAGTAACCGCTTATAACTGCACTTATAACTGTACTTAAAACCATATTGGAGCACTTAAGGGGCTTATAAGTGGGTTATAAGTACAGTCATAATTGGTTAATAGGTACCATGAACCTCCAAGTAGGGTGTTAGAGTATGAAAGGGTGTAGAGGTTAGGTCTAGGAGAAGGCGAGAAACCGCAAATGAGAAATGCGAACTGCCAACCCGAACCTCTGAGAAGTGTCCTCTGGATGGGGTCATCTTGGTTGGCTGCATTTAACAGCAGTAGAAGTCGTGGCTCAGCTTGTGCTTAGTTTCAAGTTTGGGTCGGATGCTCCAAGCCCTATACCCCCCTAGTCCCTCTCTCTGAGATCAAGATTCCCAGGCTCGTCCAGGATGCCCCAGCTGTACCCCTGTCACCTTCAGCGATTCGGGCTTCTAAGACCTCAGAGTTTTTCAGTTCAACATCCAGGAGTCCTCTATACCCAAACCCAAAACCCCAAACCCCAAACCCCAAACCTCAAATCCCAAATCCTAAACCCTAAACCCTAAACCCTAGACCCCCTCACGAACAAAAAACCCATGAAAGCTTTCCTTTTGAGGGTTCCCAGGCGACAGCCATGGCCCCGGCCCAGCGCCAGCTCCTGGAGGATGGAAGGGGGGGGGGTTGGGCATTAGGGGTTAGGGGAGTTTTTGGGCTTTAGGGGTCTCAGGAGTTTTTTAGGGGTTGAGGGGTTTGAACCCTAGCGGTTGAAGTTCTGAAGGCCTCAAGGGTTTAGGTCTTTTTGGGGTTTTAGCCTGGTGCCCCACAACAGGCTTCAGAGTCCGCAATAGGAAGAGGGTGGCTATACCACATTAAGCCTGTCTCAGGTCTCTGCTTTTATTCCATCGTTTTCCTTCTTTAGCATGCCAAAATGCACCATGGCTTACAGCATCACCCCCTCCCCCCCGGATGACTTTGGATGGTCTCCCCTCACCTCATAGATTCTCTGCGCAGGTCGCAGGCCAATCCTTCCATCGCTCACAGCGGACAGGCTCGATCCGGTGCTTGACAGGGTTTGAAGAGGGTGTTGCGGATGGCGCAGATGACGTGGGTTCAGGTTGTGAGACTTGTGGGTAGCACCACTTGAAATACGACGAATGGTAAATCAGATTCAGTGTCAGGACGATGATCAGAACAGATCTTTGAGGGCTCATTTGTGATTAGGGTATTGAGAGTCGAGGGTTTGCTTTCGGAGCTTAGGTATTTGAGCAGCTCTCTGTTTTTTAAATGTTTTTTTAAAGGGGCGTGTAGATATTCCTGGAGCCCACAGACCACAAGTTGCCTGTAGACCACAGGGGCCAGTCCCGACGTCGCGGTGGTGGTGGGTAGCACTCAGCATGACTGGCTCCTCTTACAGGCCAGGATGCGGGGGCTTAGGGCTTGGGGAGGCGTTGCTTCAGAGATTCAGGCTGGAATGTGTGCTTTGCGCCCCAAATCTCTGAAGTTTGCAGGAAGGGCTCTCCAATCATGTCTCATGAATCTCATGTTGTCACTACTGAGTTAGTGCATGACTTCATGGTGAAGTTATCGCTACATGCTCATGGAATTTCATCGTGGCAAGGTGTCACAGTGGCACGAGCCAAAGAGCAAAACGCCTGATTACCACCTCATCATGTGGGAAACAGGTTGCGGCAAGTGTGTTGGTCGGTGATCATAGCTTCCAAAGCGTGCATTGGTTCGGTCATTGGTCCAGAGTAGAGGCGACAGGATGAGAACGGCCCCGAAGATGGTGGGCCCGGCTTCGGAAGCGAACAGAAATTGCCACGACACTGGTAACCCGAGAAACCTTAAACCTGGGCCCCTCAACCGTAACCTTCCCACTTAACCCCGCTTTTGAACTTGACCCCAACGTCTGAACCCTAGCTCTCGACCCATTCTGACATTATATGCTCAGAAATGTATAATATATATATATATTACAAATACATATAATTATGCATCTATATTTAATGTTTAGAGTACCTTGTCTTCTAATTCCAATGCTACTCATTTTCTAGTTCCAAGTCCAATTCTGTTCTATTTGTTCTGTTATAAATGCATACGGTTGTATATATATATATATTTATATGTGTGTATATATACAATATATATATATATATAATTGTATATCCGTATTTATCTTTATCTTTATTTAGGAGTTTGTAGGAGCCAGCGGCCTTCGCCTCGGCATACGGTGGCCTTGCCATCAACGCAGCCGTTCTGGCGAACAGGCGGCGGTACAGGTTTTGGGGGATTAGGATTCAGGGTTTAGGGTTTAGGGTCTAGGGTTTAGGGTTTAGGGTTCAGGGTTTAGGGTTTAGGGTCTAGGATCCAGGACCTGAGTCTCAGACTCACTGAGCTTAAGGTGAGAGCCCAGGCTGGGTGGAGGATCTTTTCAAAGCAACCTTGAGAAGAGCCCCCTTCCCTCCTGGCACTAGAAAACCTGTTTGGATCCCTGGTTGTTGACCCCCACCTCCCCCCCCCCTCCCCGGCCCCCTAGCGCGATGCATGACAATCCGAGCTCAAAAATTGGCAGCTGCTCCTCACTGCAACTTCTTCACCCAGGCATCTTTCCCATATCATATCCTCCCCCCAGTTTTTGCAACTTCTCAAATCCCCCTAAGCCCTAGAGCAAACCCCAAAAAGTTGGAAACCGCTTTAAGGGCAAACAGTGCTGGGATTCCCTATACTTTACTCTTAGGGATTGAGGTTGTTGAGTTTCCAACTTTTTGGCTTCTACTAGAATCCCCAAGCCTGAATTGTCAATCCGAAAATAGTGAGCCAACTTTCAGCCCTCAAACAGCCGAGCAGGATCTCCTACAACTTCGGTCTTCGAGCACCCAGCTTCGCAGCAGGGTAGCCCAGAAAACTTGTGGCATTTCTGCGTTCTTTTTTTGGGGGGGGGGGGGTTGGGGGGGTAGGTCCATTAAGCTGGGAACCGCAGACTCAGAGTTCTTCGCAGTGGCAGCTCAGGTGGACACGGCTTGTTCCACTGCGCTGGTCGCCGTGGATGTGGCACGGAGGTACCTCCCAGGCGCAGCAGATGTTCGATGTCGTTAGACCCGTCCATGACAGGGAGTTGAGCAGATTCTCCCCCTCCCCACACATGCGAGACATGCGGTTGATCCGCCTCCGCCAGAGAGCCCCTGAAAAGTTGATCAAAGTTGATGAAAGCTCTCTTTTCCGCAGCTCTCTTTTCTTGGTAGCTGGCCTTGACTTGCAAAATCCTCCGCGAAGGCCCTCTGTAGAACATGTAGAACGGGTTGCCTCACTCTGTCCAACTGCCGGGGTGTTTTTGGACAATTTGGATACGACTACTGGATGCACAAAAGGCATTGGGGCTTCTAGTGGGACGGTTGCGGAAGCATGAAGCCGAGCCCGCAGCCCTAAGCCCTAAAATGCTCTAAACTCTCAGCCCTTCGCGCAGACATTCCATCTGCGCTCGTGGCGGCTGCTAATGTGCTGGTGGCACCTCAGGCTCCCAGAGTTTAGGGCTTTGGGATAGGGCCGCGAGAGGATGCGGGCTCGAATTCTCGGATTTTTATGCTTCGGGGCTGTTGGAGGTGGGTTTTGGGGTGTACATGGGTGTACGATCTCACGTCTCTGATCGGTCCACATCGGGACAGGGCGCAAAGTGAACGGCCCCGGGGCACGAAGAAGCTTTGGAGTTGATGGGTGTAGATGGGCCGAGTAGAATGCATTATGCTAAGAATTCCTGTGTGATGGCAAACAACTAGGACCTGCAGCACCTGCAAGACCAGTATCAACAGCAACACCAGCAGTCACAACTGGAACGTCTGTAGCCAGCCTGCAGCCACAACAACGGCTATGACTTCAACAGTATAAGTAGAAGTCGTGAGTAGTGCCTACTGCGAAAGTTAAGACCAGATACACCGAACACTTTGTTCAGAAGCAGCATGTTCGTCCGAGATCATTTGCCTAAGGGCTGATCGTTTCCGATTCAAACGCTCCTCGGAAAGGCCCCTAGAAGCAGGGGTTCCGGGTTTCCCAATGATGGACCAAGAGAAGGATGTCTGTTGTCAGGTTTTCGTGCTGTACAGCATGGCGCAGATGCCGCTTCCTGAGAGGGGTGTGCTGTCATTTAATTTGCTGAACCGACTTATCTGCGACCAGGCCCCTACATGGCAACAGGGTGCTACTGGAAATGAGCCCTGCGCAGACAAAACCTAACAAGCACGTCACACATGCCTTGTCAGACCGGGGATCCTAGCCACAACTCTTACCCAACCCGACCAAACCACGCCAAGCGCTCCTGGACAATCACGGTGGTTCGTGCTTGGACAGGATGTACAAATCCTTCATTAGATCACGGGTCCTACACATACAAAGGAGGGACGAGGGAGAACGAGAAGCAACCTGTTCAGGAGTTCGGTGAGCATTTTTTTTTGACAGGCTCTGCAAGTTCCCCATGTCTTTTCAGCAGCTCAACTTCAGGGTTTGCTTGTTCTGGGTTGAGCTGCAAACCCGAAACCCTGCAATTCACGCGCTCCACGTCCGGCTCAGTTGTGCCATTTTACATTTTCTTGATTGTTGTAAGATACTCCAAACCTATAGGAGTAGAGTATGTCCGGGAACCCCTTCTGTCCGAGGCTGTCCCGCACCGGCCGCTGCTTCACCTTCGACATCGCTGCGGAGGGCTATGTCCGTGGTGAGGGGATCGCAGCGCTCCAGCTGTGCCGCAGCTGCGATGATCCGGTTTGTGTTGCGGGCTCTGGGATTTCGGGAGTTCAGGTCGTCAGGTGAAGGTGTGTAGGTTTCACCTTTCCTGGATGTAGCGTAGCAAGGATATCCCTCCAGTCCGCCGAAGAGCATTCAGCCCCAGAGAGAACCCTCCTCGTCCTCGTGCTCAAAGTCACCTGTGAGGTCGTCGGACGGAGCCGCGGATGCCGAAGGTTCAAATCCAAGCAACAGTTTCTCGCAGGGTCTGCTTGACACAGCATGTCAGCCCACAGTACCACCATCCCCCGCGGTTTCCGTACCCTGGCAGCTTCATACCCGCTGTATTCATAATATGGAGAATCAGCAAAGGCAAGCTGCCACGGCCCCAAGCCATGCACCTTCTTTACAATGTAACGTGGCAGGCCATTTTGCAACCTAGCACCTGTCACGCCAGTTTCTGCACTCCTGAACCGAAGCCAGTCTAAACCGTCTGGATCTAGGGCCCATGGACACCGGTACACGCCAACCTAGGCTGCCTGCTCAGCAGCGCCGTGAACAGCGACGGCCGCAGTGCGAGCTTCACAGCGCCCAGCGGCAGGGCACAGGAGGAGGTCCTGGACCAGTCTCGGTTTCGGGCAAGGAAGGTTGCAGGGGTTCTGCTGTGTTGCGTGATCTACGTTTCGCCATGGTTCGCCCTATGTTTCTTGGGCACGGCGAGTGCAAGACAACAGTGAAGCTTCGACCCAGCTTCTGATCAGCCACGCGGCAAATAGCTCAATACAGGTGAGTCCTCGAGCTTCAGCTGTAAGCCCTACTTGGAGTGTGGTTATAGGTAAGATGAGAAGTATGGTACCTATACTTGAACCCCTCTTTGGGGAACACATAACCCTACTGACCCTACTTGTCATGACCCACGAACCTCCAAAGCCTCCATCCCAATGCTTGCAGATGCTCCTCGCCGCTCGGGCAGCGGCAAACGCCACGCCTGACATGGTAGAGCCGGAGCCTCACTCGGGGGTTTGAAGGGTTAAGGCTAAGGCGTGATTTAAAACCGGGGACCGGGGCTGATGCAATAGTAATGGTTTATAGGGTGTAGGGTTCGTGTCGATGTTCTACAAGCTATACCCAGAATGCCTTTCTAGAGACGGAGAGCGCAAGGCTGGTGCAGAATTTCGGGGATGGTTTACAGGTTTCAGGGAATGAGGCGTTCAGATTTCAATCAGATCTCTGCAACTGTAGCTTTTCGGGCTTGACAGGGCTGCTTGAGCCAGGAGTAGTATCCAAAGTCCAAGTCCCCTGGCTCAACAATGATCTTCAGCGTTACTAAACGGGATGATCTCGTGGCACACAAAAAAAACTTTCAACAGCTTTAAGGTAAGTGTCAGGCATGTGCTTTGACAAGAGCCTGCTTCTTTGAGAAGAGACTTGGGATGACCGAGTGATCGTGGACTCGTGCCTATGCCTAGTCGGTTGGCAAGGCCATGATGCAGACGCCCTATCCGTGGAAGGATGTTCTTGGAAGTGCCGGGCTACCGCATGCACAAGCCGACGTCCTGAAATTACTACATTTGCGGTCCGGCAGACGGCTTCCGCTGCTAGACCTTCCGGCAGCTGATGGCCGTCCCGAGGGACTCCGCTTGGCTTCGCTTCCGCGGGAGGCGAGGAGTGCGGCTTCAGAGCTCCGCGGCCTGCTCTCCGAACGGGTCCTGGAGACTTGTCCATGACGGGCAATAGATTGCAAGTACCAGTGATTCAGTCGACATCGGGATCCTGTGGAAACATCCTGTAGACTCTGCAGACTTAGCTTCACACCATGTTCCTTAGGCTCCTTGTACAGTGCACATGATCGCCGTCTTTCCGCCATGTCCATGTGCTCATAGGAGCTGGGCCTGAGCTTCTACGCGGTGAAGTCCAGGCACGGTGCGGCGCGCAACGGCGTGCTCTTGCGTGGCCGGCGCGCAGCGCCTGCCCACCGAGTGCTGCCGCTGGCCGCGCTGCCCGCGTGCCGCGCGCTGCTGAGGCGTGCGCTCCGGGCCCTGGGGCCAAGCAAGGAAGCAAAGGAAGCGGCGCCCCTCCGGAAGCTCCTCCTCCCGGAGGCCGAAAGCCGCTGCAACGGCCTGGTCCGCCGCTACCGACCTGGCCAGTCGCTGCCACGGCACGTGGACAATGGAATGTTCGAGGCCCGGTGCCCATGTTGGGCACATTGTTGCAGTCATGTTGCAGCCATGTTCCAACCCCCGAACGTGATTCTATTGATCATTGTTAGCATGTAGAGCGACTGCTTTAGTTTTTTTTTCATGGCTTTGCATTTCGTTGGTCACTGAGCCACCCAGCCGAGTGCCAGAGGACACCATTGTGGGGGTGGTGCTGAAGTCCTCGCCCATGAATGGTCTGCGGCTGTGTCAAGAGACTCCGTCGCTCGACGGCTCCATGGTTTTGCTGGCGGAGGCCGGGCCCGAAACCATAGCGTACCAGACAACTGAGTCCGCTGTCACAGTTGCATACTGTCACCTTAGGAGTGCCCCCTTGTGCAAGTCGGCTCTGCAATCCAAGCTGTTCTTGAACTTGTGAGGCTCAGGGGTCGCATGGCTTGAAGGTGGGACGGGCGAAATCACTGGATTTTGATCCCTGTCCGCTTTTTGATGTAGTCCTCTGTGCTTGGCCGCGGTCATTTTCAGAGGCAGATTTCTTTGCAGAGCTCGGCTTCAAACTGGAGGAGGAGGACGGACTGTGCTTCTGCCTGGAGGGTCATGCGCGACAGCTGGCTCACGAGGTGCCGCCGGTGAGCTCGGAGCGCGTGTCCGTGACCTTTCGCTGGTTCCGAGCAGACTTCCTCAAGGAGTTGGAACACATGGAGGCCCGCCTTCAGTGACTGGCCGTGAACTGCGCCTAGTGGACTGACTACTTCGCCGCATTTCGCTGGCGCGGCGAGGATGGCGAAGAGGTGAAAGCTTCAGAAGACCTCGCTAGTCACTCCGCGAATCTTTTGAGATGGCTGGCAGCCTCGTGCTTTGCCGCGCTGTGTGCACCCTGGTTTCATGTTTTTGCGCACAAGGAAGGCACGAAGATGGAGGGACGTTTGCAGGACAGAGCTGGCGAGCTTCCGATGCCGGTTGCATGTCAGGATACCTCTGCTCGGCCTCTGCTGAACTTGCGACGCAGTTTTTTTGTTATACAGCCCAGGCCTGAAAAGAAGATGTTGCGCATCAACTTCGCTGCCATTTAGCTCGATTTGCTGTGGCCGTAGCCCACCCTGAGCAGTGCCACGCCTGCTTGCGGCAGCGTGACCTGGGCAGCAGCTGCAACTGGACTCAGATGGCTTCAACCACGCTCGACTTTGTACGGCACGCGTTGGAACCGTTTTGCGTGCATGACAGAGACAGGCTTGGATGCCAGTGCGAGCAAGAATGCACAAGACCTGGGCAGCTGAACATCAAAAAGCTTTCCGTGTGGTTGAGGCGGCACTTCGGGACAGCCCTTCTATAGTCCAGGTGAGAGGGTTCAGAGCACAGGCGCCGCAAGTTCTGCCATGAAAAAGATGCGGGTGAGAGCTCAACACGGTGTGTCATGGTCTGAGGCTGACCTTGCTTTGAATTGGCAGGTGCCATGGCACCGGTACGGCCTTGGGAGACCCCATTGAGGCATCCTGCATTGGCATTCCCCGTTCGAAGCTCCGTCAAAACCCCGACTGCAAATGTGTTTCAGGATGTGGGTGCGCAAGTTTTACGACTATATTTCGGCAGGGCATTGTCAAGTTTTTCGTTTAAGACTGAATGGGAAGCAGCCAAGAAACAGAAAGAAAGGAATTGGTCTGCATGAATCCTGATGTCCTTGCAGAATGTCGAAACCCGCGAGCCTGACATACAGGGATCTCATTTATATGCTAAGGCGCACCATGGGAGCTGTAGTCAACTCTTCACTACAACCCCCGGAATCAGATTTCTAGGGTTGAGCTGAGCCCGTTGTGTATAGACTCGCGCAGGCTCTATGGCTCATCACAAGCATTTTTGCCTTTGCGAGGTGGGAGCGCTCAGTCGGGTCTTCAGACGGCGAACGGAACCTTTGCACGGGTCCCAATTTGCGGAAGTCAATTCTGCAGGACATTATAGCGCAGTCAATCAGCGCGTGTTGCTGCGTACGTGATCTGCAGGCAAGGACGATGTTCAGGGGGGCCTTAGCAAGCTTGTTCCAAGAGTAGCGAGCAGAGCAGTCATGGCCCGGAACACTGTAGGAAGCCGGTACGGTAGTCTGGCAGCCCAAAACGAAACCCTTTCTACACCTGCAGACAAGAGCTTGCCTGGCAATTGCCACAAAAGACCCTGTGCTCACCACCAGCTCTGTGCTTGACTGGGCATCTTGTGCATGATGTCATTCCTTCCTCAATACCCGCGAGGCGGCGCCTTCTTATGAACTCCTCAACTCCTCGACCCCAATCCCTACCTCCAAATTCCAAAGCCGAACACCCTCAACATCCCCCTCAAAACGACACGAAAACCCCCAAACCCTGAACCCTGAACCCTAAACCCTCAAACCCCTAGAACCCTAAACCCAGGCTCCTCAGCTCCTCCAAGACAGGGCTGGGACATGGCGAGGCTTTGGCGGGAGCCTGGGGCTCGGTCTAGGAAGGGCTTCGGGAAGGTGAGGAGGTCGTTGGATTTTTTTGGGGGGCCTTGTGGGCTTCGGGTGTTGAGGCTTCTGGGTAACAAGCATTGCAGCCTCACGCCTTGACGACACAGCGACTACAATGACAATCCCACATCCCCGAGCCAAGCCCAGAGGGGCTTCTGAGGCAGCTAGCCTTCTGCGACTTTTTGCACCATGTGTGTCTCCGACGATTCATCTTCAGGTCAGCGCCCCAGTCTGCCTGTTTTAACTACACCGAAGCCCTCCAGCAGCGAAGCTGATCTAGGGTTACGGTTGAGGTTTTGTGCTTCGTGAACAAGTAAGAACTAGCCGAGACCCCCTATCCCCTCCAAACCGACCCTGCGGACATCCAATGTCGAACCGACATCCAATGTCGAACCGAACAACCAAGGTAGCAGTGCTATAGTAAGCACCAGTTAGTAGTCGTAGCGATCAGTCTGTAAAAGCCGCACTATTTTCTGTCAAACAGTAGTAAACTACCGGCCAAAAAAGCCGCAAGACAGAACCATCCCACGCCTCTGAAAAAGGTGATGAATGCCCACTTCGACCTGGACGCGGAGGGGCGGCCAGGGTGTTTAGCGCCTCTCGGCATCTAATTCATGAGGGCCATGCAGATTCCGCGGGCTCCCAAAATGCAGATGGCAGAATTACCACCTCAGAGGCGTTTTCTTATGCAGAAGCCAACCTTAGGCTTGCCTCGGAAACCGTGGCAGCCCGCGCAGTGCGAGGAGCATCGTCCTTCGGATTTGGAGGCCAGCAATTGCTTGCTGCGTAGGCACGACCGGTCACAAGGACACCACCGACTTGCTGCTGAGAATGGGAGCTTGCCAGGTACAAACGCGCATGCTGTTGTGAAGACTTGGCGGTCGCCATCTCCAAGCAAGTGTGCTTCCGAGCTGCCGTCAGCAATCACAGCAATCACAGCAATCTCTACTCCATTTGCTGGGCAAATTTGCATGTCATTGTGCACAAACGCGTAGCGCAAAAGTGGGCCTGGTTCGTTCTGGCAGGCGCTGCATCAAGTCCGATCAAGTACGGATCGTGCCATAGGCCATAGGCTCCGCCTCTCCCACCTCTTCCGCCGGCCATGTCCTTGAAGTACGCGTTGGCGTGCCTCTCCGCGGTGGGTCTGGACGCCAAGCGGGCTTTCGTCATCGTTGACACCCAGGAATGCTTCCTGGAGAGTGGCAGCTTGCCGGTCGTCGCCTCGCAGATCATCCCGAAGCTGAACGAGATCCGCAATCAGAAGGACTGCCTCTTCGACGTCGTGGTCAAGACTCAGGAGGGCGACACCCCGCAACCTCGAAGTCCGAGAAGTCCACGCCAGTTTCCGCCGAATGTCTTTAGTCACTTTAGTCTTTGCAACATCTCAGTAGAACAGTAGAACCCTTCGGGACCCTTCCCACAGCCTAGGGCCCATCTGAAACATCGTGAACCGCAGGACTACCATCCGGTTGGACACATCTCCTTCGGGACTGCCCATGGCATGGCTCAGGCCATGAGTTTCGTTTCTTGGGGAAGGTAGGCTTAGGGGGATGCTTCGGGCTTTTCCCGTGTTCGCGTGTTGAGGTTTTCTCAAGTTACAGAAAGTACGAACGAACTGTGCGAACAGACTCCAGCCGGCGAAGTCGGGAGGACACACCCAATGCGCAGATGTCGAACTCCTGGCGTGGGGCCATGTGCTTCGGCGGTTTTGCATCAAGCTTCCAGAAGTTGAGAATAGATGCGTGTCGTCGGTTCTCTTCCGGCGCTCCTAGCCATGCGTAGCACAAAACACGAGGGATCCAAGTAAATACCTTTCGAAGAGGTTTGTGGATTTTGTGAGGCATCTGCAGAAATATCCTAGGTCAATGCAGTGCATCAAGAACGGAGGCAACAATGAGGCTTGCTGCCCACAGTACTACGTAAACAGCTCCTCCGTCACCTGCAATCCTCCCTTGGAGTTCTGCGCGCCAGACGGCTTCTACAACGAGACCACGAACCCCATGCTGAATGGGAATCCTGCCTGCAGCACTTGCAGGGACTCTCCGAGCTCGTGCTTCAGCATGACCATGGACCTCTGGTTGGACCACTGCCTGGAGAACGGAGACTCGACGCTCGCTCCCGGCGTGGTGTCCAAGAACAGCGATGTCATCGTCCAGAAGGGGCACCGCTACATCGAGATGTTCAGTGCTTTCATGGACAACACCCGAAACTACATGAGCGACTTGGACAGGATCCTCAAGGAGAACAACGTGACTGAGGTGTATGCCGCGGGCATCGCGACGACGCACTGTGTCCGATGGACAGTGCAGGATGCCATCCACCTCGGCTATCAGGCGAGCATCATCATGGATGCCTCTGCGGGCATCTGGGGAACCCCAACAAGTTATGCCAACGAGACAGAGGCGATCGCAGACTTTCAGAGCCAGGGCATCACAGTTCTCAACACGGCAGACCTGCTCGCCATGTCCTGCGAAGCCAATCCCGTCGATACCAGCAGTGCCTCAGCAAGCTCCTTGAGTCTGCTGTTCTCATTTTTGGGCCTTCTCGGCCTTGCGAGCTGAGAAGGCGCTTTCGTAACGATCGTTCCTCAGTAGCTCGGCCTTGGAGTCAGAGTCTCAGGGCGAAGCCCTCTCCTCTGTCTTCACCCGGGCACGAGATTTCTGCGAGAGTTTCCCAATCGGTCTAGGACAAAATTCCAGGCAGGGAGTTTCTCCGCGACCTAGCCAAGAGCTCTCTCTCATTGATGCTCTCTGACCCTGAACTTGAACTCCCCACCTGGAGTGCCCTGAATGCCGTGGAAAGCTCTCGCAGCTGCAAGCAGCCGAAAGTGGCTGCAAAGTTGCAAACCAGCGACCTGCCACCACAAGAAAAATGGAAGAACTCAACAAGCATGGTATGCACGTGTTGGCACGCACTACCATGCGTTGGCACGCATTGGCAAGAGCAGAGCACTTCACCCAGAGTCCACACAAGTGAAGCTCTTGCTGTTGCCACACCGGAGGATTCAGCATCATATTCTATCAGATGTCACATCCCAGGCGTCTGCAGCTCCAGTCGTTGCCCTTCCCCTGGAAGGCGTGGCGCTGTTTCTTTGCTGTTTCCTGAACATCTCGTTGCGCGGCCAGCCTGGCCAGCGACATTTTTTGGCTTCCACGGTTATCCTTGTACACCTAAACCTCAGACCCAGCCCATCCGGCCCATGCGCCCGCACCGATTCCGTGGTTAAGAATCTACGCATCCGCAAAAGATAGACATCACAATGAACCCGAAGCCCTCTGAAATCAGAAGAGCCACTTCGTTGTCCTCGCGAGATCCCAGAGCCTTCTGCAAGGCCCCGGCGCTTGAGGGAAAGCTCTTCGGCCTGCAGTGGATGGAATGGAGGAAAATGGAGGCCGGGTCTTCTTTGGCTTCAAGTGCCTGCTTCCCCAGGCCCTGCTGATGCCCAGTGAAGAAGAGAAAGAGAAATATTGAGAACAAGACGAAAGCGGGAGGAGAGAGCGAGAGAGAGGGCGCAAGAGAGAGAGGGAGGAGAAGGGCGCGGAGCCCGGTGGCTGAGCGCCCATTTCAAACAGCAGGTCCGCTGAGAAGAAGCAGAAAGTTTAACTACGAAGAAAGCTGAAGAAGCGGAGATAAACTTCGGTGCATAGAGTCATAGAGAGAGGTTGCATGCACACCAACGCCAACAAGGTGGCCTTGCGCGGGACATTGTGAAAGCGATACCTAACCGTCCTTTCATGTCATGTAAATTAGTATTGCATTAGTCAATCAAGCCAAAGTCACCACAGGGCACATCTTGGGAGTTGATAGCCCTTGACTTCGATGTTCTCAGGGCTGTGCCTAGTGCTTCTGCTCTTGAAGCCTGCTTAGCTTTTGGAGGTGGGGCCAGTGCCTCTCACGAAGAACGACAGGTTGATCGTAGTCGCCCGTCCGCAGCATGTGGTGTAGAGGAGAGAACTCTGATTGCCGAAGACACGACAGATGTCTGGACAACGCAACCACAAGCACACATGTTGCGTGGCATGCGCATGAAAAAATGACGAGGCTCCAGGTTGATACCCACCAATTCATGGTAGAGCCACAACTGCTGAGGAGACAGGCCGCTCGTTGCACCCGTGCAACCGTCATCGAATGTCGATGGATACCCCAGGATTCGCTCGAAATTCGCTCTCCATGAGCATCTGGGTCATTATCTTCGTATATTCTGATTCGATTCTGTATATTCATGTATTAGTTAGGGATTATGCTATAGTATATTGCGAGTCTAAGGCTCTCTTGCCGGCGGACATCCAAGAAGTCCGTCTGCTCACGAGCTCGGACCCTGACATGCGGGATCCAGGATGCCCAGGATTCCGTTTCAGAGGCGTCTTCTTCCTTGTACGGACAGGGGACGTTGCGCTTACCTGCACTTTCCCCCTGGACATTTTTTGCGCTACGTAGGAGTGCAAGAATGATGGCAAGTTTATGGGCGTTGTTCCCCGGAGTCTTGGATATCACGCTGCAAGTTCTGGTCTTCAGCTCAAAATTCCTCCGATGTCTCCTCGGTAGCCGCATCCTCTGTGCTCTCTGGCTTGGTCCCAGAGGCCAGTAGTACAGAATAATCAAGGACCATGCCTGAAACCATGTGGGGCCCTTGTTCACGAAGTGCGCGCCGATTGTATTTACCAGGCAAACCTTCAGTGCACATCATCTTCAGTGTTTGCACCCCATGTCCGGCTATGGAAACCTACGCCTGAGCCCCTTGAAGCTCTAGTCTTTCTTGGGGCCCCCTAGAAATCTGCTAAGGCGATGTTCAGCGGAGGAGCCCTCCTGGGTCTGCTGAGGAGGCTTGGAAGACGAGGTTGATTCGAGCGCTTCAGGTGAATTTGAGGGCTTGGGATTTCGGGATTTAGGATTGTAGCATTTTGGGGCTGTTGGGCCATAGCTCTCCTTTCGCTTTGTTTTAGCTTTCAGCGCTTTCCAACTTGATGTTCAATGAAGGGTACGGGCTCCCGGTTACGGCAGGGCCCTTCATTTCTGGGGTACCTCAGGCCAGGACCGAACTGACCATGTCTTCATGGCCGCCATTATGGCAAGACGCGAAACCCCTCGCCCGACCTGAAACCCACCTGGTTTGCTGCAGGACTTCGGCAAGCTGCCAGCCACTCTCGCTGCCGAGGCACCTCATAGTTCTCGCCATAACTCTGCGGAGCTCTAGCCCTTGGACCTTGAAGGAGCCGTCGCGCAAAGACACCAGTCGGGGAGGCCGCAGATTTGAGAATTTCTTTTGCCCGAATGGTCAAGGCAAAGCACTCCGGGACCGTGCCGCTGATCCTTTTCTTGAGGCTCTGGGAGTCTGTGTTGGCATTGGGGTGGGGTCTGTTTGAGGATTTGAGGCCTCACCTGCTCCAAGAAACCCTGAGGTCTTGATTCCCTGTCGAAGATGTAGCGATGCTGCTGCGTGCACTCGTAGGTGTCGTATGAAGTTTCGGGCCTGACTATGGACATTTACAGCCAGTAGTCGTCCAAACCGATATTTGCGAGTTTGGAAAGCTGCCTGAAGCGAACGCCAGGCGCTCGGAGACTGATGGGGGCCCGCTGACAGCAGAGATCTTGGAGTAGGGCTCTGAGACAGAAATCGGAAAGCGAGATGAGCTTGATGAACTTGGCAGGGGATCCAAGCCAGGGATGAAGGTGAGAGCTTAGGCATTTCCTGTTCAAGTTCCGGGCCCGAACATTTCCGTGCATCTCCCAAATCATGGCTGGCCAGAAAAGTCCCAGAAACCCAGATGGCCTAAACCCGGCAATCCTCATTGCCATAGATCAGTTGCGCTAGAATTCGCATCCGCGACGTAGACCCTGCTCGTGCAACACAAGCGCCCTCAACTCAGTAGAGCTTTGACATGTCTACGAAATATGGGAAATTCGGATAAAGTAGCTTCCCAATTTGTTTGTAGTTGGAAACAAAATTTCCCCGCATGTTGGTAGACAAATCATATTTTCCATACTTTCTTTCACCATATGAAGAAGAGGAAAAACTTTATTCCTCCTGTTTTAGAGGTTGCTGGAGCTGTGTGCTGGCCTCTGCCGCAGCCGTGCTCGCGCCGAGCTCGTCGCTGCTGGGCTTAGGAGGTCTCTGGAAATTTTGGGGGTGGGGGGGGGGGTTTCAGAATTTACGAGGGTCTGCAAGGGGCAGATTCGGACTCATGAATTAGCGTTTATTCGGGTTTGAGAAATCCTGTGGTCCTAGGGCCATGTCTTCTAAAAAGGGCAAAAAGGAGCATGCCAAAGCATTTTTTTCTTCAAAGTTCGGCAGCAGTACTGTGGTATTCTGGGCATATGCCGGGGGTCCGTGTCAGAGCGAGTGTCCACCTCGAGCTGTAGGTTGTATCTCAACGATGTGCATTGGCTGGCCTGCCTGGCGAGGCCAGTGGAGAATTCTGCGAGAATTCAGCACTTAGAGTCACCTTATAAGCCCTAAGCTGCAGGCCTGAAACCCAGGGCAGGGCCTGAAATCCTATGAAGTAAGCACTCGCGTCCCCCAATCAAGATCAAGAAGATGCCCCAACTTAATGCACAAACGAAAGCCCTTCTCATCCCTCGGCCTCAGACGAAACCCAGACCGTGAAGCGAAACCTGCGCCCCTCCATCGGCTGAGCCCGTGAATCTGGCATTGAGAGTTTCGGCTGAGGTGGTTTGGCTTGGCATGTCCTGAACCTTTCAATCGACTGTCAATCCCTGAGAAAGCGCCCCAGGCCCTCGACTCCGCCCCCCCCCCTGAAGCGCAACAGGAGCAAAACTGCAAAGCCCCTCAAAGACTCAAAGACCTCAAAGACCTCAAGCTTCAGGGCTCCCCGGCGGCAGCTGCGCTGTGGGGGCTGGCCCGATCCTTGCGCTTGGAGGCCCCATGGGCGACTTGGCGTGCAGAGCTTGGCAAGTGCCGCGGATTGGAGTGTGTGGCCTGTTAAGCCTCGCAGGTTGAAAAGGTCCACCTTCCTACCTTGGCGTTGTTGGCTCTAACTTTGGGGTGGCCACCAGAGAAGTCGGGGACAGTTGACTTGCGCGCGTTCTAATTCATTGGAGGCATTCAGCGCGCACCTCCCTGCCCCATTGAGGTTTGATAAGCTTTTTGTTGCAGATTTGGGTCCTCTGATTCCTCTGCCTTTCGTCGATTTCCAGTGCAATTCTACACAACCCGAGGTCTAGGTCCCCTTCCTTTCCCACACCGGTGCCGAGGGTCCTTTAGAAGGTACTTCCGGGATTCGAGCGGGGATTGCAACACTGCAGGTGCCCCCCCGGCACACCTTACTACTCACCAACTCGGCATCCCCAACTCCTACTCAAGGGAGCTGCAGAGGTTCCGAGTTGAGCCCAGGTTAACGTGAAGGCTGTGGATGTGGAGAGCAGGGGGCCCAGAGGAGCACTGTTAAGTAATCCTTGGCTTTCTGCAGCGGCTAAGGACCTGAGGACCTGCAGCAAGTACTCCCCATGCTTTTGAATCAAGAGGACAGGCAACCAAACTCGGGAGGCCCAAAAAACCCTTGGGGAGATGTGTTTGTTTTCGGGGGTTGAAGCCGATTTACACCAGTGGGGTGCTATGGCCTCCGTCACTAGGGCCAAGGTACTAGTAGGGCTTGCTTGCATGGTGTGCTATCGGTGTCGACTCAACAACCTTACTGGAGTGACACTTGCCACTGCAATTACATGGCACGGCCTGCTCGGACTTACTTGTAGATGTCGGAGTTGCAGACACAGTGAGTATCCTTTGACAGGAGGAGCTGGAATGCGCCTATCGTCGCGGCTCGCATGTCATGGCCTCTCGGCATCTACACATGCAAAGCGGATCATGACAACGTTGTCCTGCGCCTCTAGGGCTGGGCCCTCAATCAGACATAAGCACTATTGGATGTACAGGTGCCGCGCCTCCGTCGCCAACCAGCCTTTGAGGGCAGCCCGTGAGCTGCTTATGCAGGAGATTTGGAGATTTCAGGTGAGCTTCGAAGTATCCTGTTGAAGTGAATCTCAATCGTAATTAGATGAATGGATTCGAAACCATGCTCATGCTCGGTTTGGGTGCATGTTTCCAAGCTGAATGTGTGCATGCTGGCCCGGGCCGACAAACGTGAGCCACCGCCGTACCAATCACGATCACTATCTCCCCATGAACGGGGCTAGCTGACTAGCTACTGTTTTTTGCGCCGTCTTGGGGGATCCTCAGTTTGACTCAGTTGCGGCTGAATCCATACATGCTCGAAGTGAAGAGCCTGACAAGTGAGCCATCAGCAAAACAGGCACGAAGCACAGCTTGATCAGGATGCCTCAAGTTGTCTTCTCGAAACTGCTGCAGCTCACGTCGCTTTTTTTTCCTGAAGATACGTCGAAGGATGACGTAAGTCTCATGTGCCAGACAGCTGTCCATAACATGGCGAGACCGCGATGTCTGTGGCACTAAGTCTACCTGATCTATTGTTCCTGGTGATCGAGAAGTGCTTGGGTATCAGGACCTAACTCGTAGTTCCGCGTGAAGCTTGCGCAAGCCCCACGTATATTCGGGTCTGAGGAACCCCCCCCCATTTGTCCCTTGAAGTCTATCGGATCCTCACCAAGGCCGTGGCCACCATTGGGCGGCTGGCACCTTGTTGCCGGTGGCACAGGAGGTTGGGGTCTTGAGGGCTTTGCATGTTAGGACCCAAGCTTTCCAGTGTCAGACGTGAACTCCTCGAGACTGCTATGGATGTAAAGACCCTACCTCAAGGGATTCAGGCTCGTACCCCCAAGGTTGTACTCCTAAAGGTTTCCCTTCATATACTCCTAGTATGGCCTGTATATTCCCTTACGGATCCTTAAAAGGGGACCCCAAAACCCAAGGGTACGACCTCAAGGGTCTAAGGTAGAACTCCTAGATTACCTCCTATTCCCCCCCTTGCAGAGGCCTCGGGCTCTTGGCCGCGCAGGCGCTGGCGCGGCGCGCACAGGCTCCTTGAACAGGGCATGTGGGTAGATGCACTTCGTACAGGAACCGAAGATGGCTCTTCCTGCGTGCATCACGTAAAACCTTAAACCCCTAAAATGGAGACTGGAGATGGCAGGGTTGGGTTTCATTTTAGGTGCCTGGCTTGGGTCCCTTTGGAAGCCAAAGACTTTTAAATTGGGCCCTCAAACCGAGTGCCAGAAGAGTCCAACTGAGCCTTCGGAGCTCAAGAGCAGCTGACCCCTTCCTCAGCCTCGATGGTTGGAGAAAGTTTCTCTTGGAAAGCACGGCAGTCGACGAGCACGGTATTAAGGGTCTCTAGGGCAGTTTAGGCTTGCAGGGTTTCGGGTTGAGGGTTGAGGGTGCCCAGAATCTGCTCCGCCTGCAGGGGTTGGTGCTCCTCTCCCGACGAGGGCTTGTGGCAAAGCAGGCTCCCTGCGTTGACACAAACCCTGAATGCAGGACCTACATCCTGAACCCCTGAGCCCTCATACTCATGCTCAGCAAGCGCTCGTAGGCCATGCAACTTCCCCCTCAGCCAACAACCCTGTTTAATCAACCTGTCATTCCTGAGACTCTGTAGAAATCCTGAAGCTTCAGTTCACTTTGAACGCCTGCCGCCCAAGGCCATGTAGGCTATGCAATGAAGCACATCAAGGCGGTAGGTTCTGGGTGCAGTGTGGATGTATTGGGGTCTTGGGCTGCTCTGTTATTGCAGCCTGTGCGCACGCGCGAGCGCGAGTGCGCGCTTTGCGTGCGCACGTGTGTGTGCGTGCGTGTGTGGGCGGGTGGGTGGGTGGCTGGCTGGCTGGCTGGCTGGGCGGGCGGGCGGGCGGGCGGGCGTGGGTGGGTGTGTGTGTGTGTGTGTGTGTGTGTCTGGCAGGAGCACGCGCTCTTTGAAGAACTGGAAGGCAGCCGTTGCACAATCACAAGTTTAGACGTCAATGGTTGTGGTTTGAGCTGTTGCGCGGAACACCCAAGGAGAAGCATGCAACCATAAGCAGATGTTCGCAGAACTGATGCCGCCGGTTGTATTAGTACAGCCGGGGGGTGGCATGCAAGGAGCAGACATCAAAAGTTCAGCGATAGGTCGGGGGAACAACTTCAACCCCTAAACCATAATATGTGGCTCCCCACAAAGTAGGGGTAACAGTCTTGCCTACAATACGGAACTTTAATGTACTGGGGCTTTCCGGTTGTGGTTATTTCTTGCGACATCAGCATCTCGAATTTCAGGCCGGTCATGCTACAGACGTGCTTCGGCTCCCAGCCAATCTTTAGGGTTTGGGGTTGTAGGGTTCTTTTGCTCAACTTTTCTGGTCATGCTGCCCACAGGTCGGCTGCAGACGAAGCTGCAGAGGCGGGTTCCTTACGCAGCCCCTGAACCACGATGTCGTGCACCCGTGCTGAAGCTCCCTTTCAAGCCCACGCATGCGACATGCCCAATTACTGAACCCAAACAATCCCACACAGCCAAACGGTCCGAACCAAGCCTTACCCAAGCGCTGACCCTGAACGGGGTCGAAATCCCAAGTATGAAGTATCAGGCAAGCATCGAGCCTTTGCCGTCCCTGGCTAGATAAGTCTGATTGGTAGGGGCCTCAATGACAAGCTCGGCAGCTTATGATAACCCATGGCCAATGGAACTTAATGGAACCCCAAAATCCCGAAGCCCGAAGCTTCAACCCTTCGTCGGACCTCAGGGTTCGCGCGGACGTGTCGAATCTGGAGGCGATCTGAGACTCGAAACTTCTCGACTTCGAAGGGTTCAATGTTTAGAAGAGTTTCCGGGGCCTGGGGACAAGGGGGACTCCAGCTGACGACTTTGTGCTCCATGTCTGCTGCAAGCCTTGCAGGCGATGGAGTCAGTTGTGCAGCAGCTGCACCAACTGACTGGCGTCGTCCATGCTGCACAGGTGCGAAGTCTCAGCTTTTGCAGTTTGGCAGTTTGAGATTTGACGTTCGGAATTGAGCCATGTCAGGACCTCAAGGTTTCAGTTGCAACAGCAAGCCAAGCCCGGAATCTCCCCCTCCAAAATCGCCGAAGCCTAAACCCTATCAGACCTAATCCAAGGACTGAAGCTGAAAGCCCAGGCCCCCCTGGGCTACAGGGAGCTGTCAGGGCAGACAAAGGCCACTTTCCTCGACGAGTACTCGGCGTGGTCCCTGCAATTGCATGGGTTTTCAGAATTCAGGAGGGAAGAGCTCGGTTTGGGGCTTACTTATCTGTCAAAGAGAAACACCTGAAGACTGGGAGAGTATTGGAGATTCACCTTTTTGGGACCGCATGAAGTTTGCAAGGCTGGGGTTGAGCGTTGAGGTGAGTGGAGAGGTTGGCTTTGCGAACCCGCCTCGGCCTCCGCAGAAGGCCAATGGCTCTGTCCGTAGCTGTGGGCGTGGGCTAAGAGCCCCTCTCCCTCTGATTGCGGTCGAGAGAGCCATGAGCCAAGTGAGGGGCTCAGCTGCGGTTATTGACCTGTGACTTCGAATTTGGGTTCCCGGGCTTTGAGGGTGGCGGCACTTCTTGCAGAGTAGGCAAGGATCTTAAAGGGATCCTACTATCGCATCACTCGGGGATGTGTAAGGAGTTTGACTATGGCTTGTGTGAGTAGCCGTCGTCACTCTTATGCAGGGGGGCTGTTGAAGAGCTCCAGTATCACCCACCAAGGTAACCTACCACCGTCAGCTGGATGGTGGGCCCACGATCGTGGGATCCTGAGACATCCTGATGAGGAACCAACAGCAGGGCTTGCCTGTGCGGAGTTGGGATTCACTCTGCACGTGGAGGTTCATGGTACTTATTAACCAATGAGAACTGTACTTCTAACCCACTTATAAGCCCCTTAAGTGCCCCGAACCTCCAAGCAGGGCTTAGGGCGTCGCTTCAGGTAGTCAAGAACGGCTTCCTCGACGAGAGAGGTGGGCCTCAGGACCGGCCCTGTCACCGAACCGGGCAGGTCCAAGCGACCGGTAGCCTGTTCCTTATTTTCCCAGAATAGGGGTTCTTTCGAGACCCCGAAATGTCACGATTCCTGGATTTCAGATTTTTGTTTTACCCCTTGCTTAAGAACCCCCACCCCCCCCCCTCCCTGCAATCCCGGGCTCGGGCAGCTGGTGCTTTTTGCCGGGGAGTTTCGAAAATTTTTTTGATATTCTTCATTCAAACCCAAGGCGCACGTCGCGCGCCCAAGGGTATCTTTTTTCTTCTTGCAGGGCCAGGGTCAGGTGTTGAGGGTTAGACCCTAAGCCCCCTTTGAAGGGGTAGGATTCGGGAGCCCCAAAGAATCCTGCTCGAAGGTTCATGAGGAGTTCTGTGCAGGGAAAAACTTGTGCTCCCTGACTCTAACAATTAAAGGTTAAACCATTGGTGAGCCACATTGAGCCAGATTCCTGTAGCACTAAAAATCCCTTAAAAACCCTAAACCCTCTAGGACGGCCCCGTCCAGCGCTCGAAATCTGCGCCCCAGCGGCTTGCTGAGACCTCTGACGACCGGGTGCCCTGGGCTTACTTAGACCTGGATGTTTGGGGACAGGGGCTGGGTTGAAGACATCAGCACATATCAGCTGTCAGGGATGTGTCGGCTGAAGGAAAGCAGAAGGAAGGCAAGTAAGGGTGTGGAGTGTTGAGTGCGAAGGAAAGTAAGTAAGGGAGTGTTGAGTACACGGCTAGAGAGTATGTCACCACGTAGAAACATCTTTGACGCTGATACGCTGATACCGGGAAAGCTTGACCGTGTAACAAAGCATCAGCGACTCTGTGAGTCCGTGAGAGTACCTGTTGTGTTGTCTCGTACAAGCATTGGGAGGCAGAAATCCTGACGAATGAGGACGGCAGCGTTAGTAGCTTCAGAGACAGATTCCTGTCAGGCGCGGCCAGTGCCAGCAAGGGGCTCTTCACATCCAGGGCTTGGGTTCTTGTACTTGAGGCGCCGATTGAAGGTTTTTATGCAAGGGCTTGCATCTCAGAGTCTCAGGACTCTGGCATGATCGGATGCAGGTCTTCTCGGCCACCATGCAGGTTTGTGTTACAGATTGCGTGGTAAACATGGCAGATAAAACTTCGCAGGATTGCGAACCCAGGCAGAGCGTTATGGCAGCCCGATATCTTGGAACTAAGAGTTCAGCAGGCGAGTTTGTCATGGCAGAGATGTACGGCCGGTACGGCCGAGGTTTATAATGATTCGAAATCAGCTTTCGGAAACGAGGCTCCATACATTTCTTGTTCGCAGAGGTTGGAATCAGAAATGAAAGGCCGAGAGTCCGTGAGAGGCTTTGCGAAGTTTGCTGGCCGTGGAGGGTCTCTGTCCCCCAATGGCATCATGCCCGCAGGGGACGTATCGATTGCCACGAGCGTTGCGGAGCCGAGGAGTCCGTCCCAATCTCAGCGCAGACAAAGCTTAGCCCGTATCATCTGCCTGGGTTGAGCGAGGATTGCGGACATACTTGGGCTAGGGCTAGGGCTAGGATTGAAGCTTTAGGATGGAAAGCTCGGCGTTGCGGCTTAAGGGCCGAGAGCTCGACTTTAAGTTCCTTGAGTCAACGAATGTTGCATGGCATGTGCAGCGGGGTTGGGTGTGTTTGCAGATCTACGTCGATTGTGAAGGCAACAGAGGTTGAATGATTGTTCCGAGGCTGCCAACAGAGAGCTTTGTGCATGCAAATGCTTTTTTTGCATGTTAAACTGCAGCAGACCACCATGTCCACTCCTTCTGCCACTGTCATACGTCCTTGTGCGGTACTCTTCCGGCTAGCCGCTAGAGAGCTATTATTCTCATGTCTTGCCCTGCCCCTTAGCTTTGATTGCGTGCGCGCTGGCTCGTTTCTCATAGTCCGACCAGGTACGCCGCCCCGGTGGACACGACCGAGGGCCCGTCGGGACTGCTAATAAGCCACTGGGCCGTACATTCTTGTGTTAAGCCTGTCAAGTGGGGCCGTGATGGCCGTGTTTTGGGCTCGTGCGGTATCGGTTGACAGGCGAAAAGGCCAGGGGGTTCTCCTTGCACGGAAGATTCTGATCCTCTTTTTTGTCAACAAACCCTGGCTGCCTGCAACTTGGGTTGCCCAGTGGACTCGGCCTACGACAAGGACAACCTTTGCCGGTTGGGTTGTGCTTGTAGCAATCTGGAAGAATGTAATATAGCTAACCTTAAACCAAAAGCCAAGCGAGCGTGTTTGCAAGTGAGCAGGTGACAGGCTTAGATCCCGCCTCATCTGAGAAGCCACAAGGCCACTTGCAGAAGCGCCCGTTTCCTGTGCCTAGGTGCCATGCAGCACACTCCGAAGCAACTCATAGAGGCGGGGAGGGCCCAGTTTAAGCTTGAAGGTCTTGGGGCCTGCAAGCCGGACGCTGAGCCTGCACTTCCGTCCCAAACCCGAGACAGAGCTAGATGTTTCTTCATAGTTATGTTGCCTTCACCCCCAAAGCCACTTGTTTTTTGGCAGGAGCCCGCCAACAAAGATGATTTGGCGGCTGATTTCAAGTCGGGGCCTTTGGCAAGACACCTGGTGCCTCCGGGCATCGCAGAACGACGCCAGGTGCAATGTGCATCGAAGGGAGCGTGCAATTGCAGGTATCAGTCGACGTCATGTCTCGCTGCGGCGGTAAATCGAGAACATGGCTTGTATGAGGTATTTTCTTTTGCGGGGGGCCTCCAAGCCCAGAAACATGCATTCTGATTCAGTTTTTGTAGCGGAGCTTTAGGCTTGGCGAACCTGCGGTGGACTTCGATCTGATTGGCTTAGAGGACGAGGCCTCCCACTGACACAAGCCCGATCATCTTCGTTTTTTCATCTCTTCATTGCCAGACCCCCAAGCAAACTCTGAGCTCGAGAAGGGCTCTTGAGGAAGTGCTAGTGGCAAGCTTTGCCGTATGTTGTTTTGTACTAAAGCAGTCAAGCATCCTTGTACACCTGTTTCCCGTGCGAGGGTCAACCCCAAAGTTCTCCCCCTGCTACTCCAAACTTTGAAATCAGTAAATCTGCCCAAAGCCCCTTCTCCCTCCTTGATCCTCTCAACCCCGAAACTACAAATCGTGCAGACTCAAGGCCTGCACATCTGAAACTTGCCTGAAACTCTATCTATTTGTTTTTGTTATGATATGTATATATGTTTTTTTGCATCCTCAAGGCCATACGATGCCATACGCCCCCCCCCCCCCTCCCCCCGCTGTGCTAGAATTCATCACTGCCAGGGGGATGCCAATGCGAAGAAGAGGGCGGGCTCAGAGGTCCGATTTGCCTGATTCAAGTTAGCGGGTGGTCGTCGTGGAAGGAAAGGGGTTTGGGGTTTAGGGCTTAGGGCTTAGGATGGTTTAGGGCATCCCAAAAGAATGATAATGTAGTCTCGGTCCTCCCAGATAGCCTCTGGGTTCAGGAGTGGAGGGATGCTTGGGATTGGCTCCAGGATTCCTATCCCCAAGCCTTCTTTTGCAGGGCTCCCCTGGTCATTCAACGTGCAGCACCTAATGGGCCTTAGAAAGCTCTACAGTATGAGTGCAGGTGTAGAGGGCTTCTAGGGCATGGGGGTGTATTGCAGGGTTTGTAAGGCTTCAGATGTTGTAAGGCTGCCAGCTTGGGCATTGAGGGGATGCCATAGAATGAAATCCTAAACACCCTGGTTTGGGACCTGCAGGATGTCAGCGGGACATGGGCTTCGGGTTTAGGATTGCGAAGCAGCGAACAGAAGCCCAGGAGACAAGATACGTGATGTACACGATTCCACTGAACCCGTACTTCCTGAAGCCATCTGATCAATCTTGCTACTAGTAGTGCCAGCTTCAAGTTCAGTCACCAATTCTTCTGACCCCCCGAACAGTGAGCCCTGAACTGGTATATTATGTACACACGGGTGTTCAACTGCCCCAAAACCCAAAACCCAAAACCCAAAACCCTAAACCCTAAACCCAAAACCGAAACCTTAAAGCTGTCCCACACAGGATTCTGATCCGCCCTACTCCACGCAGCGGACGCAGCAAATAGGACAGTCGCCCGGCCAAGCTCGAATAGTACCAATGGGAGCAATAGCAAGCATACATGAATAAGACGAGCAGTCATGGAACGAAAAATAGTAGTACGATTAATAAAAAATTAGCATTAGCAGTAGTAAATAGTAAAAGTAATGCAGGTAGTGCTAGTAATAGCGATAGCAATAATGGTAGTTACAGCAATGCTAGCCATAACCACAGTACTAACAGCAAAAACAATAATAGACAGTAGCAGTAGTCGCAATAGTGTAATAAGGGCAAGCAAGAATGTCTCACTTCAGCTGCCTAGGCTCAGCGGCCTGCAAGCTTGAGTGCGTTTGCTTCGAATTTTGCGATCGGATTTTGCTGAGGAGCCCGCCTTCCGCGGGTTTAAGTAGTCTAAGTGTGGAATCCAAAAATCCGGAGTTTGGCCTCTTCTGGTACTTACGAATTTCTGGATTACTCCATGGGGTACGGTTTGCTGAAAGGCCAGATCAGGGGTGTGTTGAGAGTCGCAGAGAGCTCAGAGTTTTTGCACAGTTCGTCTCCACCATGGTCCTTCTGCATCCTCGGCACCCTGAAGCCAAAGCAGCTTTGTGCAATCGTGCAGAAAATCTCCCCTTTATCAGGGCGACTACGAGACTAATTGGTCGCTGAGCCCTGTCTTAAGGAGGGTTTAGGGCTTAGAGTATAGGGGAGCACAAAAGTCCTGCGTCACTCAGGAGCACTCAGGACATACAAATACGGAACTTACAGTAAAACCCCTAAACCCCAAGCCCTATATCCTCGACTGCGCTAAACCCAACTTGCCCTCCAGGAGTTTGAGCCTTAAAAGCCACCCTAAACCCTAAACCCTCAACCCTCAACCCTAAACTCCTAAACCCTAAACCCTAAACCCTAAACCCTAAACCCTAAACCCTAAACCCTAAACCCTAAACCCTAAACCCAAGGGCGACGCCTATTGGCGCGCAGCTCTCCGCTCAGCTACTGCAGCAACTTCTAGCGAGTCAGGCCCGGGCCAGCGAGAGGGGCGCAGAGGTTGCCAGAATCTCCCCTCCTTGTGGCTATTCACTAAGCTTATCAAGTATCAGAAGGTCAAGGGGGCACCTGAAAATACTTGCAAGTCTAGTTTGTACTTACAAAGCGGCCCGATCCTTCTTGACGCAGGATCCTTGCTTTAGGGGCTTGTGGCACTGGTCCCCCACTCTCGCTGTGTCTGCCATCCCTCCGAAATCCACCGTCCTTGCGAAGATGATCCTGCAGAGTACACTTCCAACTTGTCCCTCACCACCAAATACTACCAACCCCTAAACCCGAAACCCGAAACCCGAAACCCGAAACCCTAAACCCTAAACCCTAAACCCTAAACCCTAAACCCTAAACCACCAATCCAAACAGCACCATCGAGTTGCCGAGGGTTTTTTGGGGATGGATGGAAGCTTCTGGGATGCTAATACTGGGCGGCGTTGAAAAAGGGATGTTCGAAGTTATGGGCCCTTGGGCTCGAGTCCCTACATTATCCTGCATCCTTGTATCATTTTTTCTGGGTTTCGCGTTTAGGGGTGTATGGGGTTTAGGTGCCA